AAAAAAGTATTTACCTTCAACGCTTGGTACGGCAAATTATGGTAATGAAACATCCTCATTGTCACTGTTCCATAATCAAATGCTTTCATTTGTGTTTCATGGTTATGAATTAATTGAAGGTCCGTTTGTATTTTCGAAAACTTATCTTCACATTCTTCTTTTTTTAGCACATGCAAATAGTACTTCATAGACTCAGCCGATTTTTCCGCCTTCGTTTCAAATGCCACTTTCGTTGAATCAAACGGTAATTGCGTCGATCGTTGCATTTCATAATTTTTGATTCCTAAGAATCTTTTGCTGAACAAAGTTCTCACCGATCCGACCATAAAAAATACAATTAAAAATTATTGAAAAAATACAAAATTCTAATATAAATAATAAATAAAACTTACAGTGCTTCTGATAAATTATTGATTTGTATTTTAAAAAATTCATGTTTAACTTCTTTTAATAGAAATTATTCGATGAGAGAATTTCGTAATAAAACTATTTGTTGCGTACTGATGTGAAAAATTCCACGATGTGAAAAATATCACAACTCTCAAAATCTACAAATGTCAAAATTGCACGTCAAACAACACAATGATAAGAGTTAGGAAAACATAACCAAACATTTGACGTTTGAATTTATATTATCAATGGGACAAAGTTCCGAATGTAATTGTTTTGCTTGTAAGTGGTATCGAAATGCCTTTAAGTTGATTTAACAAATAAATTTATCAAACAGTATACTTCTAAGTAGAACAAAACCAAAATACCATTTCATTCGGGAAATAATTGTTTTGTAAATTCTTTGACAAATACCAAAGAAATTGTCCGCTTTCGAGATAAATACGGTTGTGACGATATCGGCTCATTTTTTGCAAAAGAATTTATAACAAAAAAACGGCTAATTTTGTGTCCATATTAAAACAAACAATCTTTAAGCCAATATTTTGTTTATAGTTTGCATCATAAAATACTTATATAGTTATTATTCAAATGTTTTCAGGAAACATGTAACGTGTGAGTAGACTTGGATGCAGATTATCAAATTCAGTCGTTCAATTGAAAGATAAATGAGTATTTTAACTCCAAAAACTATTGAAAATATTTTTACACGATTTTTTTTTTATCGTTTCATCAATGTTTAGGAGCTATTGTGCCAACGAATCAAATAAGATGCATTTTTTCTGGCGAAGAGCTGGGAATTAAAAATTACGAATTGGTTCGAAAACAAGTCGGAGATTATGTAAAAAATGTCGTGTAAATATGATTCGTGGATCAAGATTGCAATTTTACAAAGTATGAAACTGAACTAAACAGTTTGCTTCACGTTGTCGACAAGAGTGAAAACGACATGATGATTCTGAAAGAAGCATTGAACAGTTGAACACATTAACTGAAAAACAAAGAAATTAACAAAATCATTGATCTTAAACGATTACATATGTTGTTGTTGTGCGCGTATTGAAACTGACTATCATCACTTCCTGCGTTTTCTCCTGTTGGATTGGGCTCGGCTGATACAAGAGTGTTTTTATCCTCATCTTTTGACGTGCCATTTGTTCCATTTATGCCTTAATAGACAATATTTTTGATATGAAAACATAATTTTAATTAAATATTATATTAAAATATTTATTCATGTAAATTCATGTAGATCAGTGAATATCTAGGAGAATATAACATCACAATACTATCGTGATGATAGAGACTTTTCGATTTGATAATGATGAATTGTTATCAACAAATGCAGCAAACATTTTCTAGGTTTCAGTAAATCTATTAATCTATTAAAAAAAACAAAACTTTGTTGAAATAAATCAAAATGCTAGTCAGCGATTTGTAACGAATCATTTTTTTTGAATTGACTGTTTGCATATATGTCAAAGCATTGTCAATGAACATAACCTCACAAATGACAAATCAATTTAAAATCACATGAAGATCATTGTAATAAAAAAACATTGTGATATTCTGAATTCTATTTTATTTAAAATAAAAATGAACATGAATATTTGTAGACGATTGTTTTCAACGCTGAATAAATTGTAAGCAATTAAATATTCAATAAATTGTCGAGTGAAAATGTTATTAATTTCAATTTTCAATTTATTAACACCGCCAAGTACTGGCTGACTGAGTTATATACAATTTACAATTTAGTTACAAAAATAGGTTCAAACAATTAGAGTTCAATGTGAAGACATTTGAGATAGTTAAGTATATAAATATAAATATAAATAGGTAAATATATCAGCATATAGTAACAAAAATAATAGTAATAATAACAATAATAATAGGCAAAAGTTAATATCGAAAGTAGATAATCAGTCAAGTTTATATAAATATGCATATACTACAAGCTCGTCCACGTGGCAAAAACTTCGTCTGGTAAACTGTAAAGTTTCTGTCTAAATTGATGTTGTGTTATCGTCGGATCAATGAAAAGTGCTGCTAAATTGAATAGTCGACATGCACTGTTGAATGGAGACATACTAGAATGATCGGTTCGGCAGAGCTTGATACGTATAAATTCTGGATTCCGTAACGTTCTAACGCCTGTATTCAAGTTCATTTGTGATATAAGGAACGGGGCGTTATATTTTCCGATGATGATTAAGTTATCATTTATTTTTAGGTCTGCGCTCCCGAAAATTCAAACAATAAATCATAGACCGGTGCTAAGCATAAGCCCGAATCAAAAAGCTGCCTTGCAGTCGTGAATCCAACGATGGAGACAATGATGAAGTATGTATTAACCAGAGCATATACTGAGCATAGATATATATCCTGGATATTTTGTGAGTATCCGATATTTATCGCAGCCAGACATTATAATGGAGTGAAAACAATAGAAGTGATTGTTATAGGTCTAAGTATAAAACCATTTACATTACTACAATCACTATAACAATAACTTCTATTGTTTTTACTCTATTTCAAAGTCTGGCTCCAATGAATATCGGATACTGACAAAATATCCAGGATATATATCTATGCTTAGTATATGCTCTGGTATTAACTATTGTGCCAGTAACAGTAATTCGGTTGTTAACCATGATTATTATTTTTGCGATCTTAGAAACCAAAATTGGGTCTACGAAGGCGAAATCTCAAGCCATATCCACATATCGATTGTGTCAGAAACCTAAAAGTTGAAAATTATTTACTCTCATCTCATACTATGGTGAACACGAATTTTTGCAGCGATTTGATGGATATGTGTGTGTATTTATAAGTGGATATCATCATCCACGTAAACTTAATGCCAAATCGGGATATTCCGTCTATTTTGGTCCGGATCATCCATTGTAAGTAAGTTCTTGAAAGCTGCATGAGTTACTGCCAATATTTGCATATTAAAAATGTTCTATATTTAAACACAATGTATTGTCTATAGGAATTTGCAAGGAAGTGTTGAGCGCCG